TCTAAATGCTCCTGTTTCCTTTTCTGCCAATCAAAAAAAAATTGTCTTTCTGAAAGTGATTTACTTCTTCTCTTCAAAAGGATTCTGTGTTGCTTTTTTTGTCTCTGCTTTCTCTGTGTCTTTATTTGTATACTGATTATTTTGCCTGCCAGCTTCTCTGCATTACATTCTCCTTTCATTGTCAACCACACGGTTCCTGGTCTTAACTAACTTGCCATTGGAACTGCTTCCAGGCTGAGTTGCCAATTCGTATGGACCAGCGCATTGTATTTTTCAAAAATAATGACAATTGAAACAATTGCAATTGATGAAGTTTTAAAAGCCCTTTTCAAATATCCTTAAAAAAGAGTAGATTCCCTAATAAAAACATTTCAAAAAAATTATTCTTCCAGGTAAAGGTCATCATGGAATGGGATCGGATGGGGTTATAAAAGTGCATTCTTACACTATCTACCCTTTGTGAAATAGAGGAGATTGCGGGATGAGGAGAAAGTGGATGTGAGAAGGATGTGTGTTTGAATATGCTTCCACCTTGCTACGGGGTAAGACCAGCACAATGGGGATTAGTAGATGCTAGTATGCCTGTGTCCCCCAGATATCTCTTGTTGCCTGTGGTTGTGCACCACCTTGCCATGCAAGAGAGAGGGTGTTGCATCTACAAAGCCTGTTTGATTGATATATCTGTCATGGTTGAATATTCATGTACAAACTGTGAGACGTGGGTGCGAGGCTTACAAGACTTGTTAGAATTGTACCTTTTATTTAGACTTCCTGCCTGTCTATCGGTGCAGCATGCAAATAGGTGAGCTGAAAGATATGTACATGTTACTTAAAGTGAATGCAGCAAAACCCACCAACTGAAGCACTTGGATGTGAAGAAATTCTACAGTGGAAGATTGAGATGAATTTTTAAAAAGTTGCCTAAGACATCCACAGACAGTTGTGTATATTTTTCACGGTATTTTTAAAATTATTTGCAAAATCATTGTTAAATAATATAATGCATGAAAATGCATCTGTTGCCAAGGGTGGTCTGTGCATAACCCAATCTGTGTTCTTAACCATAAAAACAATTTACTTCTGTAAATAAGACTGATTTAAGAATATTTTCAGTTTCTGGGAAATTTCTTTCGAGTTAGTACAATATGACATTTTCAAGTGTAATTTACAAATGTGTATTTATTTGATGCCTGAAATATGAAGGTACATTCTAAATTGTGATACACATGATGATCTTCTGCAATGAATAATAGTCTGATGTCTGAACCATGATTATTTGTTTTGCATGGTTTTGTTCTGAGAAGTGGAACGTTCAGCAGAGTGGATGGAACTAGAGATAATTCCAGTGATGTTCAGGAGGGAATATGTAAAGTACATGGTTCAGAATTTTAATAATAAACCATTGGATGAAAGAAAAATAATACTAATCTATTTCATAGATCATCATCATAGAATCCTGACAGTGTGGAAACAAGCCCTCCGGCCCAACAAGTCCACACCGACCCTCAGAGCATCCCACCCGGACCCTTCCCTGTATAACCCACCTGATTTACACATCCCTGAACACTATGGGCAATTTAGCATGGCCAATCCACCTAGCCTGCACATCTTTGGACTGTGGGAGGAAACCCACCCAGACACGGGGAGAACGTGTAAACTCCATGCAGACAGTCGCCCGAGGGTCGAGTCGAACCCGGGTCCCTGGTGCTGTGAGACAGCAATGCTAACCACTGAGCCACCATGCCAATGATGGCAGCAGTTTTGAAATATATTTCCTCCTGGTGACATTTCTGAGAATGTAAAATTGGAGCTAGGTGCAACAGTAGCATAGATTTGCCTGATGTGACCTTATTTATAGACACAGACTCATGGCCATGAATTGATAGTAGTTAAATAAATAAGCAATTTTTACACACACACTACAAGTTTAAAAAAAAGATATTCCATAATATTGGTAGAGGAGGTCATGAGAACAGGGTAGAGTGTGATTTAACTTGGTGCATTGTAAAGGTAATTGGCAAAGTTTCTGGATTGGATAGGGTGAAGGAATGTAGGATTTGGCTCACAGTTGGATCAGTGGAAGCAATGGGATGCATAACTAGATTGGAAGTGCTAATTTGCAGACTTACAGTCAACTTTTATAAACCTCATGTTCTAAGTGAGAAAAATTGTGACTTATGGAGTTCAATGTGAGAACGTGTATAATTCTTTGGAGTTTTCATCATATGTAGACAGGATGGTTCAGAAGGCATTTAGCACACTTGCCTTCATTGCTCAGACCTTTGAGTATAGGAGTTGGTACGTCATTTTGAGGTTGTACAGAACATTGGTGAGGCTTCTTCTGGAGTCCTGTGTCCAGTCTGGTCACCCTGTTATAGGAAGGAAATAATTAAGCTGGAGATGATTCATAGAAGATTTACCAGGATGTTATCAGGAATGGAGATTTTGAGTTAGAAGGAGAGGATAGGAAGTTGAGGGGTAACTTTATACAGATTTATAAAATAATGAGAGTATAGATAAGGTGAATGGTAGATGTCTTTTCCGTTGACTGAGGGATTTCAAGACTAGGGGGCATATTTTTAAGGTAACAGGAGAAAGATTTACAAAAGACATGAAGCACAATTTTTCTTTTACACAGAGAGTGGTTCGTGTGTGGAAAGAACTTCCAGAGGAAGTGGTGGATGTAGGTACAGTTATAACATTTAAAAGACATTTGGATAAGTACGTGAATGAGAAATGTTTGGAAAGATATGGGCAAAGTGCAGGCAGGTGGGACTAATTTAGTTTAGGATTATGGTCAGCATGGACTAGTTTGACAGAAGTGTCTGTTTCCGTGCTGTATCACTATGTCTAACGTCATTCACTTTGATTGTAAGGCTAAGGTGAAGCATATGAATTTTAGATATGAATACTGTTAGATATTTTTGGTAGATTAGTGATAGGTTTGCAGTGAATTACATAGAAAATAGAAGTAGGAGTAGCCATTCTATTTTATGGAAATACTCAACAGATCAGGCATCTGTAGAGATGATCAGAGTTAACATGTTACGTCAATGCATTTTCATCAGAGCTGAAAAGAAAATGGAAATGAAATGTATTTTGAGCAGTAAAAGGAGGCGGCGGGGGGAAGCTAGAACAATAAAGGCGTGTGATAGAGTGGAGGATAGGCAATATTAAATGATAAAAGGTTTAATGTTATAACACTCAATTGAGTGGTAATGGGTATAGCGAAGAATACAATATAGGGTATCGGGTAGGATCATTCAATTGTTTGAGACACTCAGGATCAGGATCCTTTCCTCATCGGGGTTGAGCAGTTGAATGTTTGACACCCCACCATCCGTCATGGCTCTGTTTTGTTTGAGCTGTTTTCTGCAGGATTGAGAGAAAGGAAAGGATTGAAATTGAGATGGAAATGGGTGCTGTTAGTACTGGTGCTGGCAGGGGAAAAGACAGGGAGTAGGCAGTGCAGAGACCACACAGTAATCGAAGTAAGGTGTGGTTGGCAGGTGAGGATGAGGGAAAATATTGGATGCGTGCAGTATTGAAAGAGGTAAAGCACGAGTCTTGGTGAAAAGTGGGCAAAATGACAGAGATGGAGTGCAAGGTAGCAGAGGAAAAAACGGATGGGGCTTAGCCTAGTGAAGTGGAAGAGGTCATTGACCTTCTTCGTCCACTGCTGGGAATTCCTTCAGAAAGCTGAGGCTGTATTGACCAGGGTGGCAACCTTCCACAGACTGACAGGGATTGGTGTCATCGCTCCTCTGGAGGCCCTGGGGAACAGTACAACTACCGACTGCTCTATTACACTATGTCCACCAGGTCCTCCAGTTCCATGTCTGCAAAGTACCAATTTCCCTTTGTCTGCCTTGTCCTGGGCAAATGATATAAACTGTCCAACGCAGCTCCAGACTGACAGTGCTTCACCAGGTGGCCTTTTAAAATGGGGCTAGCATCAGGGATCCAAAGTGTGGGAGGATTGGGCTAGCATCAGACAAGATAGGTGCTATGGCATGGTAGGTGATTAATTAGGTGACTTCGGGGTGATAGCATGAGAAAACTCAATATACCTTGTGGAGAGAAACCCTTCAGGAAACCTGATGAAAATTACACAGCTGAAGTATTGTAAGATTCAGTCCTGTGCCTATGTCAAAGGTAATCTATTCCTCCTCATCCTTCCTATAGTCTTTGATACGCGTGACCAAACCATCCTCTTCCATCTGCTCTCTACTGTTACTCAGCTTAGTGGGACAGACTTTAACTTTCATATTATCGTCTTTCTACACACAGCCTGTGAAACACCTACACCAACTTTTCTTCCTGCTCCTAAACTCTAAACTCTGGTGTGCCTTAACGATCTATTCTTGGTCCCTTCCCACATCTCATCCACATGCTGCCCCTCGTCAACACCGTATGAAAACAGTGTCAGTTTTCACAAGTGAAGTTGCAAACACAAGCACAAACTCATCTTCACTTCTTTCAACCACTCCATCAAGAACGTTGTTGGATTGCTTGTCAAACATCAAATACTAGATGAGCAGAAATTTTCTCCAACCAGTTGTTGGAAGATGAAAGTCATTCTTTTCAGTCTCCTATAATCTGCTCAGTCACAAACTCTGTTCCCCAGCTCACCAATTGCACCGCTCTCCCTAAACACAGTCTGAGGCTAAATCAGAGATAGTAGGAACTGCAGATGCTGGAGAATCCGAGACAACAAAGTGCAGAGCTGGATGAACACAGCAGGCCAAGCAGCATCATAGGAGCAGAAAGGCTGACGTTTCAGGCCTAGATTCTGCCTGAAACGTCAGCCTTTCTGCTCCTATGATGCTGCTTGGCCTGCTGTGCTCATCCAGCTCTGCACCTTGTTGTCTCTGAGGCTAAATCATATTGTTTGCAGTCTTAGTGACATATTTATTAGAGAAAAAAATACTATATTGCACACAAATACACAGCCAAACTGTATTTAGAAAGGCTTCTCTCCAACAGCTCTTTATTAAAAATAGATAAAAAAAATTAAACGGTACATCTTCCACTTTCATTATTGAATGTCACGTTGATAGCAAGGAATTCTGCAACTGATGCTTTCATTTTTTTAAAAATATAAATCATCAGTCCATCACAGAACACAAATATTTTTAAAAATCTGCTCAAACAAGGCAAATAAGAAAGTTTTCAACACAGATATGATTAAATAAATTCACAGCTACCATGAATTTGTCATTTATTTCCCATATTTTTCTTGAAATGTCCACACACTGTACTTCCATTGGTTAGCAACACGGGCTTCATGTTTGTTCTCAGGTTGCTACCAATGGCAGCTCTGGCACTTTTACTAACAAAAAGTGACCTGGGCAACTGAACATTTAGTTTTCTTCCCATTCAGAATCACTTGAAGTGCCTTATAGCAGGCTTGATATCAGCAATTGACAGTACAGGAAATTGTAGCTGGAAACCCAGCCCAGCAGTTGTTTCATTCTTAGTAAAATCACTTTTAATGCTTTGCTTACGAACGTTGAAGATATAATTAACATCCATTTTCATCGTATACTATTTACCAGTTGCAGAGGCTTGAATACAATATTAAAATGGATTCTTTATTCCAGCAGAGGATGAGTTTAACGCAATAAAATGCAAAGCAATGTAGTAGAGGCAGTGGTAAAAGTGAGCAGATTCTTTAATCAGATCTTTATCTTTCCAATTCCAAAATCTAAGCTTTGAAGCTTACATGATTGAAGGCCCAGTAAGTACTGTAGGCAGCTGATTCATGTCCTCCAACTGGTGTTAGTTGTAGACCAATGGATCCCCCAACAACTGCAGATTGGCTAAAAAAAAACTTCCCCCAATGCAAACAAATAAATATATGAAGCTTATCTTCAATTTTCCTCTTTACTTCATTCTAACCACTGAAGCACCACAGTTTCACTCCAACATGCTATTCCAGAAGACACCCTGGTATTTGCAGGGTTTAGTAAGAAAACTCTATCAGATATACTAATTTAAATGCACAATCTTTACGTTTACTTTTGATTGCTCTTCCCTTCTATTCCCATTGACAAATACTGAACTAACAACTTTATATGTGAACTGAGCAACACAGTAATGCACTAGGATTTTCTTCCTGCAAAATTGAAATGTAAATGATACAACAACACCTTCATTACAATACAGGACTCTGAAAATGCATGGTACTAATGAACTGGCATAAGTGGCAGGTAGAGGATATATAACCCCCACACTGGATCCTGCCAAGGTATCTGTGACAATGCCTGGGCATGGAGACAGCATCTGTCAGAAAAGGGTGCTGAGGAGAAGGGTTTGAAATATAGCCCTGCACAGCAGCTAGAGAAAGTTTTATTGTCAATAGCACAGTCAGTTTCTTAACAAAAGCAGAAATTGCTGGAAAAGTTCTGCAAGTCTGGCAGCACCCATGAAGAAAAAATCGAAGTTAACTGAGGGTTCTGAGGAAGGGTCACTGGGCCTGAAATGTTAACTCTGATTTTTTCTTCACAGATGCTGCCAGACCTACTGAGCTTTACCAGCAACTTCTGTTTTTGTTCCTGATTTACAGCATCCACAGTTCGTTCAGTTTCTTAACAGCTCCCTTCAGAAGAGGGTCAGTCACATGAAAATTGAAGTCCAGCTGAGAACCAAGCACTAGGCATGACCTTCCCCAGCAACCCCCCGATAGACCAACCTCTTCAATTTAAGTGGCAATCTACCAGTTTTATCCCAGAAAACAGAGTGATAAGTGTAAACAAGACACTGGATAGGGAAATACCCTGACTAGAAATGACTCTCCATCCAACATTGCCAACCCCAATTACCAGGAATCAGGTTTGATGTAGAAGAAAGTTAAGGCACAAGCAGGAGCTAAAAGTGCACTCTGGGCTCCAAGTCTGTTCAGGTCCAGACAACTTGCTCTGGCAATTTATCTCTGGGCTACTCTGTAAACTCAGCAATTTCCATGCAAGATGCAAATGTTGGGATCACACATAACTGTACAGTATTGCCATTTGTTGAGTGACAATTAAAGTGACTGAACTAGCTACTCAACTTAAAATCCTCCTGGCTGAAGAAGTCCAGGTAAAGAAGCTCCAGCAAACCAGTTAATCTTGGCTGAGATAAACCTGGGTAAAAGTTCTAACTTTTGTCCAAAAGAGAGAGAAACTCCCAAGTGAGACCAACACAAATATGTTGTTTAAATATATCTTTCATTACTGCATTACTGAACTGTAGAATTTTACACTAGATCTCAGAATAAAGAAGAAATAACTTTAACCCTCTAAACTATTAAAAGGGTGACTTTCCTCAGCACCTCTGTCATTATGCTGCCATACTGTCAATTCAATTTTAGGAAGAACCTCATTCATGCATGTAATCAAGATTCCTGCCAAATTTCTGCCTAAATTACAGCAGTGTAGCAATGGAAGCACCGAGGAAACTTGCCCACAAAGTGTGTGGTAAGATTGAAACAATAACAGGAAACAGCATGAAATCAGATGTCAGATAATTGACAGTAGTCCAAATGATAGAAAATTCAATGATAGAAGATGAAAGATTCATAGAAAATTTCACAAGAAAATTTCTGTTCACAAAAATAGCCTCCTTGAAATTATTCTTGGCCCCTACACTTTGACATTGTTCACTAAACGTTCCATTCTATTAAGTTTACGTTTATTCTTTGGCATTGATTTTGCATACAATCCATTCTTGATCAGATGTTCTTTGCTGTGATGGATCTGAGCTCCATGCTGAAGCTGGAAGGAACACAAAGCTTGAAGAGGACGTAGAATAACCTGTGTAGATTTAAAACAAGAAACGACTGAAAATTTAGAAGAAATAGTTCTTCATTGATTTCATTAATAGAGACTTGTTCCTTGTAGTATTATGGCTTAAATTAGATATCACAAGCTGCCCATGTTTAAACTACTTGATAAAGGAGAAAAGGTAATTATCAAGACCCGGAAGGACTCCAAAGCCATTCACGTGTAGTGCATATCTTTGAAGTGTTTTCACATGTATGCTGACGACACCCAGTCCTAACTCACCATCACCCTCTTCCATATTGGTCATTGATTTTGGTCTTTACTCCAAACTGGACCCCCTAGCTAATGAATCCATGCTTCTCCCTGGCAACTGCCCGAGATTAAGCCAGTCCATATGCTATCTCGGTGTCACATTGGAGTCCAAGGTGAATTATGTATCATATGTACCGACCCTAAGGATACCTACCTTCACCTTCACAACATTGCCCAACTTTATCTCTGTCTCAGCTCATCCACAGGTGACACCTTCATTCTTCCATTCTTTAGATCCAATGCACTCCTGGCTGGCATTCCACTGTGCATAAACCTAAGGTAATTCAAAGCTCTGCTTCCTTTGTCTTAACACTCCAAGTCATGTTCCCCTTTCATGCCTGTGTCTGCTGACCTACTCTGGTCCCTGGTTAAGAAACATCTTTAAAATGTTCATCCCTGTTTTCAAATCCCTCCTTGGCCTTTCTCCTTCCTATCTTCTAGTCCACTGTATTCTGGAATGTCTGCACTTGTTTAATTCTGGTCTCTTGTGCATCCCAATTTTAACTGCCCCACTACTGGTAGCTGTACCTTCGGTGGCCTAGGTTCCAAGGTATAGGATTGCCTCCACCTCATCATCTCTTTACCTTTCTGTAAGGTTCTCTGTAAACCACAATCAAGCTTTTGGTTAGATAACCTAATATCAATTTATGTGGCTTGGCGTCATATCTATGTAGTCCTGCATTTTACTTTCTGAAATTATCTGTTAGTTTCCTTCAGTATAATGGAAATATCCTACAAGTCAGTGGCTGGTGGACAGCAGTAATGTGGAGCTGGAAGTGGGGTATTTAGGGATAGAAAAAGAATATGAGGCTTACTACTGACCTAACATGAATGGCAGATGACCAAAATTCAGACAAAGTAAAATAATGCATAATCTATCACTCAATGAATGTATATTTTCCTCTTCCTTCCAAAAATATTAAACGCTTTCAAAATTTGTGCAGTTTTGAGGTAGAGCAGAGATATATGACTTAAGCTCAAACCAATACAATCGCTAATGAAATAAAGGCTTCCAATCAAGTAATTTTTTTCCTGCCAATGTAATTTTACAATCCACAACATAAAACAAGTTGCTTGAAATTGTGTCAGCTTGTGACTTCTTACCTCATGAATGCAATGATTCTTTTCTGCTATTGACAGCGCAAAAGCTGCACACTCCAAAGTGGAGAGACAAGTATTTGTTGGCTGAGTCCGAATTATGTATTGGCTTAATAAACTAGTCTGGAGTTGAACCTAAAAAGGAAGAGAGAGTTACAAAGCTTTTTTTAAAAACTAGTTACCTTCTCATAAAGACGACAAATACCCGTCATCAAAATGCAACAACTTATGCAAGCTTAAGCCATGCCACAGTAGACAAAGGTGCTGACTGGTGTCTGACTAAACCATGCAGATAGACTCATAGATGTTTACAGCACAGAAGGAGGCCATTAGGCCCATTATGTCCATGCCAGTAGAAAGCTTGACTACATTAATCCCATTTTCCAGCTTCAGGCCTATATCCCTCGAGGCTATGGAAACACAAGTGAATATCTAAATTCTGTTCAAATGTTACAAGATTATCTTACTCAACCTCTTTTTCAGGTAGTGAGTTCCAGACTCCCATCACCCTCTAAGTGAAAAAGATTCTCTTTAACTCTCTTCTTAGCACTCCTCTACTAATGGGAAAAGTGCCTTTTCTATCCACACCCTTCATGATTTTATACATTTTAATCAGGATCTTTTCAACATTCACTGCTCCAAGGAAAACAACTCCAGTTTATTCAGAAAAAAAGAACAGCGGATGTTGGAAATCAGAAACAAAAACATAAATTGCTGTAAAATGTCACTAGGTCTGGCAGCATCTGTGCGGAGAAATCAGAGTTAACATTTTGGGTCCAGTGACCCTTCTTCAGAACTGATGGTAGCTACAAAAAGGATGCTTTTAAACAGAAGATAAAATGGGGGAGGGAGGAATAAACAATAGGTGGAGATAGAGTGCAAAGAGAAAGAAAAACAGTTGGACAAATAAGTGGATAAAGACCAGGCTCTGAGAATGAATAGCTGCTAATGGGGACTATTAGTAGTTGACAATGAGTTGTGTGTGGTAGCAGCCCATGTGGTGACAAGGCCTGGTGTGTGGGGGTGGGGGAAAACACGGGGAAAGGTGCTAATGTGCTAAAATTGTTAAACTTGATATTAAGTGCAGAAAGCTGCAGGGTCATTGGACCCAAAACGTCAACTTTGATTTCTCTCCACAGAGGCTGCCAGACCTGCTGAGATGTACCATTTGATATAATTCTGCTGTTGGACATTTACTAAATAATCTAGCCTATACTAGAATTATGGAGGAAATCGATTTAAGATTATTAGTTGGGTTTACAGTGTAATGCATTTGTGCTCGTCAGAATATTAACACACAGGGTCCTCTTTTAGGAGGCCAAGAGGAATTTGTACACCATTGCACCTTTATAATTGAAAAGGGAGAGCATTCGAGACGGTCTGCTGTATTCCCATAGCAACATCCTGAAAGTCATACGTGCCTAATCTGTGAACTAAAATTGACATTTTACTGTCCCGCATTTGCATGTCAGAAATCACCCAAACAACACCCTCTTCTCATGCTGTCTAAATTGGTGTGACCTTCTCTCAAGTCTGATTCTTGTATCCTAATCCTGATGAGTGCAAGTACTTGTCTCCTTTAAGCAATCTTTAAGACCTGTACTACCATAAAACCATAAAAAAATAGCAACAGGGGTAGGCCGCTTAGCCACTTGAGTCTACTTCACCATTAATGGGATCATGGCTCCTCCAACATTTCTCATGTCCACTTCCTGCATTTTCCCTGGAACCTTCGATTATCCTCTTGATCAAGAATCTATCTTAGCCTTAAATATAACCAAGGACTCTGCACTTCTTTATTGTGAGACTACACCCTCTGGTCCTAGACTCTCCCATGAGGAGAAACAGCCTCCAGGCATTTGGCTTTTTAGGCCCCTTAAGAAATCTATGTTTCAATGTGATCATCTCTCATCCTCCTAAACTCCAGTGAATGGAGTCCCAACCTATCCAACATTTGCTCATAAGGCAATCCTCTTCACCAGGGATCATCCTAGTGAACATTCTCTGAACTGGCTCTCATGAAACAATATATTACCTTAAATAAGACGACCAAAATTTCTCACAGTACTCCCGATGTGGTCTCACCAGCACTTGTACAGCTGCAGCAAGACTTCCCTACTTGAAATAAGGGCCAATCTTCCATTAGCCTTCCTGACTACCTGCTGTAACTGTGTGCTAGCTTTCCGTGCTTTGTGCACAAGTCCTCCAAAGTCCCTTTGTGTTGCTCCTTTCTGCAAATTTTCTCCATTTAAGTAATACTCTGGTTATTTGTTCTCCCTTCCAAAATGAGTAACTTCCCATTTTGCCCACTTTCTTTACCAGTCAGTGTCTCCTGTTATAGAAACAGAAATTGCAGGAAAACCTGAGCAGATCTGGCATCATCTGTGGAGACAAAGCAGAGTTAACATTTCAGGTCCACTGACCCTTCTTCAGTGTCTCTTTGTAAATTGTTTGTATCTCTCTCACAACTTGCCTTTCCGCCTAATTTAGTACAATCTGCAAATTTGGCTACAGTACATTCTCTTCCTTCTCCAAGTCATTAATATATATTGTAAACAGTTGCACTCCCAACACTTATCCCTGCTGAACTTCACAGGTCACAGGTCACCAAACTGAGAAAGAACCCCTTTTACCCCACTCTCAGGGGTTCCTGCCCATGAACCAATTCTCTATTTAGCTGAATTGACTACCTCCAGGACCATGTGCTCTTACCTTATGACTTAACCTTCTGAGGTATCTTTCCAAATGCCTTTAGGAAGTCCAAATACATCTACTGGTTCCCCTCTAATCTGGTTGAAACTTCCTCAAAAGTTCTCATAAATTAGTCAGACACAATTTCCCTTTCATGAAGCCATGCTGATTTTGCTTGATCAGATTACAGCTTTCCAAATGTTCTGCTATTACTTCCTTAATAATTGAGTCCAATATTTTTTCAATAGACGTGTCACATCAGCAGTTTTCCAGTCTTTTGGTACTTCTCCTGGAATCAACAATCTCTGTAGCTACATCTTTTAGGATCCTCGGATGTAAGCCATTAGGGCCAAGGGATGTATCTGCCATCAGCCCCATTAATTTGTACAATACTGCTCCTTAATTCCTCTCGTAATCTTTTGTATTAACGGAATGTTTGAAGTATCTTCCACCGTAAAGCAGTTATTTAAATATTCTCCAATGCTATGATGGCTGCACCTCCATCAACACTCAAGAAACTCGACCCCATCCAAGACAAAGCAGACTGCTTGATTGGCACCACATCAACTACCTTCAACATTCATTTTAGTCATGCCAAATGCACAGTAGTAGTAGTGCGTACCATCATCAAGATGCACAGATTAACTGATTTCTGTAGAAGGGTCCTGACCCGAAACGTCAGCTTTCCTGCTCCTCTGATGCTGACTGGCCAGTGTTCCTCCATCTCCACACTGTGTTATCTCAGACTCCAGTATCAGCAGTTTTTACTACTACTTAACTCACCAAAGCTACTTTGATAGCACCTTCCCAACCTATGATTGCTAGCATTGAGGACAACAAGGGCAACAAATGTAAGTGAATTTCTCTCCAAGCCACACACTATCCTGACTCAGAACTATATCACTCCTTCACTGTTGCTGCGTCAAAATCCTGGAACTCTCTTCCTAACAGCACTGTAGCAGTTCCAGAAGGCAGCTCACCACCAGTTTCTGCATGACAATTAGGGATGGGCAAGAAATACAAGTCTAGCCAGCAATACACTCATTCCATGAACGCGTCATTGGTCATTGCATCACTGTTGCAGCTCTCACCTTTTCAGGATCAGGGCTAAACAGACACGACCTATGTACTCGACTTTCATATTTTTTCTAGTTCAGTGTCAGGTTCATCTGGTGAGATATGCTTAGTAGTTGCACCAGATTTTGATTGTGGTCAGCAATGGCTTCTTCCAACGTGTGTCGGTATCCATAAACTATCAAATCATCCATTATAATTTCCATTCTGGGAAGATCAAAAACTATCTCATGTGGTCAGCATTGATGCTCAAGTGCTGTCGAGATTTCAAATCTCATGCACAACCATCTGTATTCTTCAAATGAGATCCAAAATGTGGTTAGAAAGTTGGTGCTTTCATCAAGCTTCACTTGTCAGTAACCATCTTTCACATCTTATACTAAGAATACAGCTTTTCCCATGCTGGCTATGCCTTCTTTTCCTTTGTGTGATGTTCTCCAAAGCATTTGCTTCACATCCTTTGTCGGTGATTTTTTTTTTCTGAACTCTCTGTTGTCCATCTGCATAATGCAAGGCCCGGTATGTTCTGTCACAAATATGCTCCAGAAGCAGATTTGTAACGTCTGTACTTTTACACATAACAAACTTTCCTGGGTTCGAGTTTCTCTTCTTTCAGTAGATGTGCTCTCACTGCAGAATCTCATCTGATCCTGATTTTAACTAGATGATCTTTAGCTGTGTACATTTTCAGGATTCTGGGAGATTTATTAATGAAGTTATGTATTGATCAATGGACTTGTTTTCACTGTGAGCCTGAATATTGAACAAATACTATTCATAACGTACAGTCACTTGATGTTCAAAATGTTCCTTGTATGTTTTCAAAATTTCTGGAGTTTTTTTTTCTGTTTTTCAGAAATATTCAAAGCACCCTTTCTCCAAGTGATTACCGTGTAGCCTGCTTATTAAGTAGATCAATTGCAGTTTCATAATTTTGCCATTGCACATGGAAAAACTGGCAAATTCTGCTTCATATCATCTTTTATTTTGACCAGTGCTAGGAGAGAAAGTGTTGTAGGTGTTGTGTTTTACCCATTGCTTCCACAGTAGTTTGCTTCCTTGTTGCTTTTCAGTGGCTTTCATAGCTCTGAACAGTCCTATGTATGTCTGCCAGTAGCTGTGCTTCAATACAGCTCCACTCTGACATCATTTGCATGTTTAATCCAGTGCACAGCAGTCTTTATTGTGTACTTTATTGAACAGCTGCAAGGCAGAATCACTTAGTCACTCATTACAGAGGTCACATCACTACAGCAAGCTGGGAAACACATTAGTATAGTATTGCATTTTTATCCTAAACAGAGTAAGTTGTAAAGATCTGTTTCTGGTTCAGTTGAAATCATAAGAGAGTTAAAAAGATTTTGCAAAAA